CATCTAAAGGCTCAGACCAGTGAAGATACATGCAAGACACCAGGAGAGTCTAATTTGGATTCTGGAGAGTCTAAAACTTCAGTTTTAGAAGAAAGGTATGCATGAATTCAAAGGATAATAGAATTTACTCAGGATAGTAAATTTTCCATTGTTATGTAATAAATTACCCCAAAACACAATTTTAATTTTGTTATTGGCTTCCAAACATTTGTTTCATAGTCATTGTGGGTCAGAAACTTGGAAGAGGTTTAGCTAGCACTTCTGGCGTAAAGATTCTTAGCAGGTAGCAGTTAGGTCTTTGTTGTTTATATTCATTTGAAGTTTTGAGTGGAACGGACAAGTCCACTTTGTGAGATTTCTCACTCGTGTGGCTGTTGGTTGGAGACTTTAGTTGCTTCCCACAGCCAACAGACCTTAGTTTCTTGCTGTGTGGTCCTTTCCATTGGACTGCTCAATATGGCAGATGGCTTCCCACAAAGCAAGTAATCTAAGAAGAAAGGTTAACTGTGATGGAAATTACAGTATGTTTTAATAACTTAATCTCTGAAGTTCTACACTCACTTCTTCTGTATTCTGTTCATTAGAAATAAGTCATCAGAAATCCATACTACATCTTAGGTGAGGGGAATTAGGTTCTATGTCTTGAAAGGATGGATATCAAAGAATTTGTAGCTGTATTGTGAAAACATCCACTGACTCATTGCACAAGTCGGGATAGCCTATGTGTATTATCTAAAATTATAAAAACCTTTTAAAATGAATAAATGAATGGATGAATGGCAAATTCTCATACTTAAGTGATTAAGTCTTAAACCTTAAGTGATTAAATCAGCTTCTGTACTATTTGAGGCTTGTGGGCAAGCCTATCCTAGATTCATAGTAGGAGCAGAGGATCTAGAACTGGGATAAATTGAATCATCTCTATCAATTCATGGATGGTATTTTAAATTCATTTGGTGTATGCTGTAGCTTTTTATAAGATTAAGTATGCTGAGTTTTCATTTTTTCCTATAATTTGATTTTTATTGTCATTAGAATTGACTACATAAGTTATTCATGAATTTATTTAAAATCTTATAAATTCATTATTTATCATGTTTCACTATGAGTTATAATATTAAATTGTAGTCTTTATTCCTGGTACCAAAAAAAAAAAGCTTGTAAGTTGTAGTCTTTGTTTATGCAGCAAGTAAGTATCTTCTTGGTGACCTTGTAGCATCACTGTTGGTTTTATAAGAAAGAAAACTATAACAAGTTAGGGGAAAAAATGATCACTAAACTTAGATACATTAAGCATAGATATTATAAAAACATAACCTTTTTTTCTTAAGTGGACCTTCTAGGCTCAACAATTATTTAATGTCCAGAAAGAATAATTCTGCTGTGAATAATGAGGTTCAAGAAAGTGTAGGTAAGTTACTGTTTATCTTCTACTGTCTTGATTTTTATAGCATTATGGGTATATAGTAAGATGTGCTTTTTTTTTTTAAGCTTTCACTGCTGGCAAATAATGTTACTTCTTAGTTTACTAAACAGATCTGTAAATGAAAGAGAAAGAAAATGAAAGACAATTTTCTTTTAAGTAAGGCATAAAGAAATATTGGTGCTCAAGGTATCTCCTCCAGGATTTAAAAATGTTATGTTAATGAAGGGGTAAATGAAGCAAGATTAACAATCTGTTTATGGTTACTGAAGCTGAGTGATACATGTATTGAGTTCATTATATTCTTTTCTCTTTACTTTAAATAGTTTACTTTTCGTTTTTAAAGGGCCTCTATAGAGAGTTCCATAATGTTTTTCATGCCCGTAAAGAATGTATGCTTAGATATAATCTGTAGTATTGCTTTTTTCTTTCCTCAGTTCACTAATTCTTTTTCCTTTTTTACTTACTTTCCCCTGATTTTAGACTTTAGTATTTTTCTAATATCCATATATATTAATATTATTAATTGCTTTATCAATAATATGGTAGAGAAGAAGCAGTGAATTTTTCAGAGTAAAATTTTTGGCTTCATTTTATAGGTTTTACTATGTAGTGTGATTGGACTATTAAGTTATAATGATTTTTTTTTTTTGACCCAAGAGTTACTTAAAGAGAGTACATAGTAAAGATTCTAGTGTCCACCATCAGGGACCAGGGATTGAATCCAACTCTACTATTTACTAGCTATCTTATCTTGAGGAAGAAATTTCAATGTTTTTAACTTCAGATTCTTTATCTGTAAAATGGGGGTATTAATTCCAATCCCATAGGTTGATATATCTGGTATATATTAAATTCCCAGTGTTGATTTTTATTCTAAGAAGTTGTGTTTTGTTTTGCTCTTTTATTAATATTTTCCAGTTTCATTTTATTGTTCTGGAGAACCTTGCCTGTATTATTTGTTGTTTGAATATATTAAGTTTTTTTTGTGTGTGTATGTGTGTGTGTGCACGTGTGCTCTAGTATAAGCTTATTTTTTATCATTTTTCTATAGGTATTTTTAAAGAAGAGAATATTTTGTATTGCTCATTATTTTCTTGATCATATATGTAAATGTATTTTTTGGTTGTACTTTGAATATTCATGCAATTCTTAAATATTTGTGGAATATTTTCAAATATTATTGTGTAGTCTTTAGAGGTTAGGGCTATTAGAATGGATAAGAGTGGCAAAACATTGTGCCTTTCCTAGAAGATGGCAGATAGTGTAAAGAGAGAGCATAGTTTTTGATATGTTGACTATTGAGCGTGGGAAGACAAAACAGGGGTTTGGGAGAAGAAATTATAAGTTATATATGTTTTGGTTGATGGGCAAGAGGGCCTCAGTGGAGAGTTGGATCGTTTGAGTGAAGATATGAACTAGCTGAGAAAGCAAACAATGTAGCTGTTTAAGTAAATAGTGTCCCAGAGGAAAAATGAAGGGAGAAGGCTCTGATGTGGTAATAGTCTGTCCCGGTCAGGGAACACCAAGCTGCCCAACTCCTTGAGCAGAGCAAGAGAAGAGGAGAGTACCAGGAGGTAATGTCACAGAGGTTCAGAATCACTCACACGTCATAAGTCTTGAGAAATTTTGGCTTTGCTAAGAGACATGGGAAGCCATTGGAGGGTTTTAAGCAGAGAAAAGAAACAATCTAACTTGTATTAACAGAATCACGGCAGCTACTATTACACTTGATCTTAGCCAAAAGGCCGAGAAGCGATACGGCAGCTACTATTAGGAGTGGATTAATTGGGTTGAGAGAGCATGGGAAGTTGGGAAGCAGGGAGATTATTTGGTGAGACTTTGGAATAATTGTAGTGAGAACTAGGCTTGGACCAGGTTGTTAACAATTGAAGATGGAGAAAACAGGTGAGTTTTAGGAATTTTTAAAGACAGAGTCAGCAGAATTTCCTGATGGATGGGTTGTGGAGTGTAGGGGACAGGGGTGCCAGGGATAGCTTGGGAAATGGCATTGTCATACTTGATTTGGAGACTATTAGAGAAGGAGCACACTTGGGGGAAAAAAGACAGATATGTGGATTTGGACACTCTAACCGTAATATTATTCTGATTGTGTCCTTTTGACTTTTTTAAAGGACATAACAAACAAAACTACATTTGGAAGGCCTTGATTTAATTCCCAGTATCACAAAACAATAAATACCACTTTTCTCTTATGTACTTTTGTGGAATGATACTCTGGTACTATTTCAGCAGTATAATCTGTTCCTTATCAAACCTCCCTTCACCAACCTTAGCATCTGGTGAAGACTCCCACTTGAGTCATCAACCACTAATGATGGTAGTCAATTATTTTCTCTTTTCTTAATTTCTTCTCCATTAATTAGACGGCAGTCTACTGTAAGAGTATCCCACCCTTCCCTATTTTATTCATTTCTTATTCATTTATGTGTATCTGAATGGTTGATGGGGTTCATATTTTACTCCATGGGATTATAATCTATCATGCATTCTGATACTCAAAACTATTCATAGAGCTACTGGCCATTTGGGGTTCTTTTCAGCCAGACTATGTGTGCTTTTGTCATGGTTCTGTCATTCTGTGAATACCATCTTGTTTTTTGGTGGGGGGGGGGCAATAGAATATTTCAAATCACTTTTCCTGCCTCACCTCTGGAATAAATTATTTCTCTTAAGAAATCTGGTTCTTTTTAGTGGAAGATGGCATTTAAAATCCCAGATCTGGATATTCAGTGCTCCTTGTTACCAGAATACTCCTAGTCTACAGAGATAGAATATAGACGCATACACCCCATATGTAACATGGGCCTCTAGATCTAGTTCTGTATTTAAATTTAGAACCATAAATTCACATTAATATCTGCAGTTCCAGTCCAACACAGACTTCTTTTCCATTTTTGTAATGCTCTTCTAAAGAATAAGAAAACTGGCTTTCATCCTCAGTTTACTTATTTATTTGGTTCCTTCTGAGCCCTACCAGCTGCCTCCAAGGCCCACTGCTATGAGAAAGTTTTCAACGAAGATGAGACCTGTAGTTGTTCTAATGGAGACTGCATGGGAAATTTGATTATGGGGAAGAAGGTGTAACTGCTGTATTGAGATGGACTTCATACACACAATTAACTTGTTTATAGTATACAAGTCTGTGGTATGCAGTCATCATAGAACATTTTTTATCACCAACCAGAAGAAACCTCATACCCTTTAGCATCCACTTTTTTTTGGTACTGGGGATCGAACTTGGGACCTTGTGCTTGCAAGGCAGGTGGCGGAACCACTGAGCTAAATCCCCGGCCCTAGCAGCCACTTTTTATTCCCTCCTTCCCAGGCCTAGACAACCAGTCTCTACTTTCACTCTTTACGTATTTACCTATTTTTGACAGGGGAATTTGATTTTATGATTTCCAGAGTTTCATCCAAACCAGCAACTTTATATTTAAGTCAGTCATTCTTAACAGTATTTTCCTTTCACAGTCTCCTTTGAGAATATGATGAAAATTCAGGCCAGCTTTTTAGGAAAATGAATCTATTACATGCAGCATAGCTGCTTCCTAGACATGAAGGGTTCTAGTTACATATTGTTACATAACTAACCTGTCCAAAACTTACTGGTTCAATATGACTGTATTGATTTGTCTTGTATGGTTTTGTACATTGACTTGATTTGGCTAGGTGCTTATTGGGGTGCTTTCATAATTTTATAGTTAGACAAAAGCTGCAGGACTAACTAGAGTCATCTGAAAGTTCAACTGGGCTGAACATCCAAGTTGACTTCTTCCCTTCTGTATATGGTACCTGCTGGAATGGTGAGGGCTGGTCCAGCATCTCTTTTCCTCCACAGGGCCCTTCCATGGGGTCATCTTGGATCATCACAGCATGTCACTCTTGGGTTGTCAGTCTTCATATGTTGCTGTTGTCCTCCTCCAAAGTGAGAGCCTTATTGGAACACACATGTCTTACTAGGATTTAGCCTTGGAAGGACCAGAAAGTCATTTTTGTTACATTCTATTACTCAAACAAATCACTGAGGCCAGTAAAGATTCAAGAAGGAAATGTGGTCTACTTTCACTATTTTTCCTTAGTTTTTATTCCTTTGCATTGAAAAAATGAACAATAAAACATATTTTCAGGTTCAAATATTATTTAAAATACTTTCACTGAGGTTGGGCAAGTAATAACCTTAAGTCAGCATGGAATTAATAGCTACTGTTCATGATACTATCTTTTGTATTTTGCAGACGACTCAAGAGTAAAAGGATCCAAAGTGGCACCAAGGAATGAAGTGCATCACAAATTAGGTAAATAATTAACTAATTCATAATTATATTTTTCTTGTAATATTTTTATTGAGACAAATGCTATTAAATCTGTAAAATTTAACTTAATTTTTTTTCAGTAGAGGAAGTAATATTATTTGGATTAATTGATAGATAAATTAAAATTACATACTTAATATGTATGTAATTTCATACATAATTTGTATTTCACAGTAAATCGTCACAAACTACCAAGTCAGTTTGTTGTCCACTTACAGTCCTCTTGCTGTAGCCCATGGTAGATCTCACCTAAGCATAGATGTTAGGGTAGAGAATTCTTTCAAATAAAATAGAACTGCTAGGTGTGTGTATGTCTTCTACCTTCATGCAGGTCACTCCTAAGCAGATCTCTAGATGTCTAGAACGGCAAGTAAGGAGTGAAAACCTTAAAAAGATCCGTGGATGTGAGGTTTAAAAATCCATGTTTCACTAAAAGACACTTTCTAATCAATTTTCTGGGAGCCTTTCACCTTTGTATGATTGTGGAGTGGCTTTCTATGTAATCTAGAAAGCTATTTGTATATAATATGATACAAACAGAAGTGATACTATTACCATTGACATAGTCTGTTGATTAGAATGAGTTGATGGTCCTACGTGCATTCTAGTGAGGGGCTTTTTTTTTTTTTTTTTTTTGGTACTAGGGATTGAACTCGGGACCTTGTGCTTGCCAGGCAAGCACCAGAACTACTGAGCTAAATCCCCGGCCCTTGTGAGGGGCTTATATAAGAGTGTAACTCATTCATTGCCCATGACTTAGGGTGTGTCTACCACATACTGCTAATATGATTACAACTTTGTAAGTGCTTAAAGGTTTTTGTAATAATACTTTGGAATCTATAGAGTACTTAACAAAACTTGGTATGGGGGGAGGAAAGTAGGAACATAAGAGGGATAAGGAAGGAGTTCTAAATGGAGAGGATCAAATGGCTTAATAAGAGGTTTTTTTGGTTTTTTGCTTTTTGGTTTTTTTGGTGGTGTTGGTGATTGGACCTAGGGCATTGCACATGCTCTTATCAGTGGGCTACGTCCTCATTCTCAGGGCTATCGCTTTGATGTAATCATGGAGAAATGAGAGTTTAGTTTTTTATTTTTATTTTTAAAATTTTTTTTATTTATTAAAAATTTTTTGGTACCAGGAATCAAACTCAGGACTTTGCGCTTGTGAGGCAGGTGCAGCACCACTGAGCTAAATCTCTGGTCTGAAAGTTTGGTTTTTGAGTGACTGGAATAGAAAGGTAACTAATAGTATAATGAGAAAAAGAACAAATCGTTGAAATGACCAAGAAGAGACTGGAGAAAAATTGGTTATTCAACCAATAAAAGTGAAGAGAAAGAAAACTCATTGAAAGGGACACATGTTGTTATACTCAGTAAATGTGAGTGGACCGAATTCCTCTAATAAGTTAGAGACTTTGGATTTAGTTAAGTAATACAAATCAGTCTATATTTATTAAAAAACACTTAAGATTATTATTAAAGAATTAGGTGGGCTAATGTAAACCCAAAGAAAGTGCAGTTTTAATGTTAACCAAAATAGAATTTAAGGTTAAAACTGATAAACATGGTAATGATGGTCATAAAATGATGAAGTGAGCAATTTATGAAGAAGATGGGAATATTGTACTCTTGTTCACCAAACAACCTAGCAATTAACATTCATAAGGGAAAGAATGAATAGAAAAAGCAAGAGGATTTTTATTAAACACTACCATTAGGATGGAGATTTCTTTTTTGGTACCAGAGATCGAACTCAGGACCTTGCGCTTGCAAGGCAGGCAGTGGCACCACTAAGCTAAATCCCCAGCCCTTTAGGATGGAGATTTTAATAAACCACTTTCAGAGTCAGATAGCAATAGCAAAAAACATATAAGGGCATAGGAATTTCATAATAAAGCTAACAAACTAATATATGGAACTTAGCATTGTTCAGGTAAGAGGAGAGTACTTTTACCATCATCACTCCTACATATTATCAGATTTCATGTATTTGCCAATCTAGAGACCTATGTTTTCCTTTTTTAAAAAAAATTATTAGCATAAAAATTTTCTAGTCTGTTGTCTAGAAGCATTCATGTTCTAAAAAGTAATTCATGTTCTAAAACTCCAGTATTATAAACTTTCTCTCTACACACACACAAATACACACACACACACACACACACACAGACATACGCACATATACATTTTCATCTGTCATCTTTTTACAGTATTACCTTCCAACACACCAAATGTTCGCAGGACCAAGAGAATACGTTCAAAACCTTTGGAATACTGGCGAGGAGAGCGAGTAGATTATCAAGAAACACCATCAGGTAAGATCTAATTTATACTATAATGCCTGTTAATTAAAAAATAATAAGGGTTGCTACAACTTACTTATGCTCACCATATGCCAGGTGCTGTCATTCATATTTACATATACTACTTCATTTAGTCACCCCCCCCCAAATGTGATGAGGTTCAAATCCAGATTTGTCTGACTACTATATAGATACTGATCTTCCTCCCTCCCTCTTTGGTAGCTATTTGACTGTGGCTTTATATTGTCATTTTAATATTACCTGACAAGGTTTCTAATTGGATAAAGATTAAGTTAGAACATGAGAAAATTATTCTTATTTATTATTCTTATGAACAGTTTTCTCATATTTTCCTACAAAATGATAGAGGGTGGGCAAGGAAGGAAGTACAGTATTCTCTTAAACTCATTGCCTGCCTTTGATGGATATAGCTAAACCAAAGGACACTCACATGTGTCCTTATACTACTGATACTTCATTATGCATTTGCCTTTTTAAAAAACCCTCCACTGATGACTGGAGACTTCAAGCAATTTCAGAGATCATTCAATCATATTTCTATCAATAGTTGCAGATTTAAGGTGAAAGAGATACAAGTGAAATTGGTATTTTTTTTTACTTGAATTACTAGCTGTAGAATGTAGTAACAGTAATATTTTCTTTGATACTTTGAAAGGAAATGTACATTAATTAAAGAGTTTTGTTTTAAGCTTTTTACTTTCCCAGATATATTTTATCTTTTTTGTTGTTATATTTCAGGAGGACTTGTGATTGGTGGAATACTATCCCCAGAAACAGTAATATCTAAAAGGAAGGCAAAAGGAAATGTGGGAAAAGTCAACAAAATAGATAA